CGTCGCCTATTTCTTCCTCCATCCTCTGCCTGCTGGCGTAGTAGGGCTCTTTCCCTTTGCCCTGGGTGATCCTCTGCTGTTGCCGCCATGCAGTACATGCTTTCAAGTTAGATGGGGCAGAGCTTGGACGGTGACAAAGAGCACCAGTAGCAGTTCCAGCCAGGGCAAACCGGGCCATGAGCAGCTGTGGCTATTCCCCAGCTGTTCCCCTCAATTTGCTCGCCTGGCTGGCCTCAGGAGACACCTGGGGTGGTGGAAAAGAGGATGTGACAAAGCAGGGTCTGCCGGGTGGTCCTGGCCATTTCTCTGGGCTCTTTGCCACCGGTCCTCTTCTATTTCCCGAGCAGCCGGAACCCAAGGCAATACTCTCCACTCACTCTTCTGGGTACCATGACTATTAAAAACTGGGTTCTGGACCAAAGTGTTCTCCCACCAAACAGAGCCAGCTCTGTGATGCTGCCAAGCACGGTTGCCCCAGGTTCTCTCCTGGGGGAGGGAAGGACATATGGTGGGGGGGCAGGGCACATTCAGGAGGGGGCGTCGCCCTCGTCAGCCCCCTCGTGGCTATGGGCCTGCCAAAATGTCCCAACCTGGAGCTGGCAACTCTACCCACCAAATAAAATTGATGTATAAATGCAACCGTAAAAGAGTTACACCCTTCTAAACCCATCGCCTACAATTATATCCCATTGAAGTATCCCATTGAATTATATCCCATTGAAGAAGGGTGTAACTCTGATTAGGATTATACTGGCATGAGACTTATTTTCCCCTACTCTAAAGATTCTTCAGCTTGCCTTAAAATCTTAAACCACTAATTTTCGTATAATTTCTCCTTGTTTGGGAAAAAGGCATGGAACATCTGTTTTATATTATAAAGTCCGGCTGTTGTAACTAAAGGCTGAATGGGGAGAAAATTGTCGTTCATGCCGCTCAAGGCATGCAAAAATAGAAGAAGCAAAGATCTATTCAGTTCGTTTGGGAATCAGGAAACACTTGGTAAGAAGGCTTCCTCCCTCTTTCATAATTTTCGGAGTGAACAGAAAAACCACTTGCCCTGGCGACTTGCCTGGAGAAAGATCCATTCAGGCAAAGAGCAATCTGAGATGTGATATCACAAGTAAGGACTTGGGCCTCTTGAAGACAACCTCTCTGCTTTGTTCTGAGGAGACCACTGAGGGGAAGGAGCATCCAAACAACCCCCATAGGGATGCCAGATCCCCCCCCCGTGGGGGTGGGGTTCCCCTGCTTTTGGGCCCCACTTCTCCACTGCCAGTCAGCAATGTCGTTGTTATATACACCATAGACATGACATAGACAAACTGTTCTTACTAGGGCTGTCAAGTGGGGGCGGGGAAACCGCCGCGGCGGAATCGGGCCCCGGGGGGAACTCCACCCCCTGAAGCTGCGTCACCAGAGGTGACACAGCCACGTCACTTCTTGTGACATGCTGGTGGCGCGTGTGCGCACGTCCTTGGAGAACTTCCGAGCTCGGCAAGGCTCCCCCGCCAGCAAGGGTAAGTACACTTGGCAACCCTAGGCAGGCCCCAGCTTTTTGCGCTTGCTGTTGGCCCGCCCCCTCTAACTGGCCCATCGACCATGGGCACCCTCTCTCTTCCCCCTCCTTGTGGCGCTGCAAACAGGCCCCCAGGT